AAATTCTAACTTCAGGTCAAAGAATGCAGCTGCTGCTGGGCATCCGCATGCATACATTTGTTCCTCGATCCGATGTAGGATAGGAGTACTATCGGAGCAACCACAGGAGGTCTGATACATTCTCTCTTGGTTTTATCAAGTTTGTTGTTCTTAACCTACATTTTGGTTTTTGGTGATTACAGAACCTAGAAACTTAAGGACCATACTGTTCGAACAGATTCCTTAGTGGCTATATTATGAGGATTGCTCTTTTCTTCCGAAGACTAGATTAGTAACAGTTCAAATAAACCAGATGGGATCTTGTTTGACTGCTTCACCACAACTTACTCCTCAGGAAGTCTAACGAATAATCTTTGATCTCAGTGCTGAAATATTTTCGTTGGTAACGCAGCATGGTCCGCTAACCTTGTTTGTTTCAATTTTCTTACACTCATGCTATCTTATACAAGTTTTCAACAATCCTTTATAAATGAATGGATGTCATGGTGGCTGGTTCTTTCAATATTATGAAAATCAGTATGATGCAGTTTCAGAGTTATGAACGGTTGTTGAAATTGACTGGTTTCAGTTGGTTTCCACAATAATACATGTTTTCCTAGTTTTAATTTCAGCCAGGATTCGAGGTAAGTGTTGAGTAATTTCGTAAGTCACTTCTATATTACAAACATCTATTCTGCTAAGACATAATATCCATAGCAGTCTACATCGTTAACCTAGTGACTGACTGTTTTTACGAAGGGAATGGTCTAGTTATTTTAGATGATTATATCACATAGACACCTCTGGTGTTTATTTAGAACTGAAAAGGTTTGTCGCTTTTCATTTCTTGCTGATAATTGCTATCACTGTAGATTCTTGCTAAGTCTTCACATTTTTTTGGCTTAATTGAGTCAGTACCTTATGCAACAATAGTACTGCTCAACCATATTCTTGACTCTGTTATCCGTCAAAGATCTATTTACATAAGTATTAGAACCTAAAGTTATAAGACATTTTACCATATTGAGTTTTAAAAAACAAGATATTCAGCCAGAACGACTTCTTTTAACAAATTTATTCCCTGAGTGGCATATTCGTACGTATATAGACCGCAATCTGTGAGGAAGATTAAACTTAAGTAATGGGAGGTTGAAATAACAATAATGGTGATTATAGTAATAATATTGTTATTTGATGGCAGTGAATGGTAACAAAATGGGGTTATGTAAGATTCATAAGGTATATATAGATTACAAAGAGGTGAAAGGATGGTATGGCTAGTAAACAATTGAAGGATTAGGTGATATGAATGAGATAAACTGAAAATGTTTTGTTAAAAGTTGTAATTATTGGAAAGAATAAATGAAGTAACACCAAAAGTTGAAAAAAAAAAAGAACCGAAACAAATCGAGACCAAGGTACAGACTAAGACCACATGTGCTTGTTTTGCACACAAATGTCAAGCAGACTTCAGTTCATAGATAGTCAGAGCCTTAGCTGTTCTTACAAGTTGAAAATAGAGAAAACGTGAGATGTTTGAGCGAATTCGATAGACAACCGCAAAACCATTGTTTGGGTGGGTTTATTAGTTGGAATCGACTAGGCGTTCAAAGATAGAACTTCTGAAGCATTTTGTTTCACCCTTATAGAGCCAGGTTGGAATGTTTTCGCTTACTTGTTGACAGCAATCTGTGACTGCGATCGAGGAGGAGGTGAACTGGTAGATACACTTGAAAGTGAGTTTTATTTGATGCTTACTGCAGGCGATTGATGTTTCAATCACTTTGAGATTTTCATGAACGCAGGAACTCAAAACTAACAAGGATTTATTATTTCATCGGTTTAAAATGGGAATGTTTTTCAAACTTGCTAATGTATTCTACAGTAAAACGTTTGGAGAGATACAGAGCGGATTATGAAGATACAGCAGTGAAGGTTTAGACTGGCATGTGTTCTTAGCCTGTGTATCCTATTTTTTAGTTAAGGACTTATGTATCAGTTTAAGAAAGCTGGGTGTTATTAGATAATCTCTCGTACATTATGAGTAGTAATTACAAGATATTAGCTAGCGAATTCTCTGAGTGACTGGGTAGTATTTGAAATTTATAGAATAAATGACAAATATATGTGATATCACATGGCTCGAATTTACTGTATGATCAGTCTAGTATTGGTATAAACATAAAAATGGAAAGTATATCTGTTTGTCGATGTAAATATATGAATATAGCAGTTTCGAAAATCTGCTCTCCCTATCGATACACTATAGATCAGTTTCCACTTTTTAAATTACGCTAGAAGTAAACCCACTTACTTTGAGATTTTTATACTTTATCACATGTAACTCGCAAAACTGTCCAGTTAATTAATTCTTTCCAAATGGAATTATCATTCCACTAAGCTCAACTTCTGAGTTGTTCATATTATTAAATCATATATTCACTGAATATACTTAGGTTATTCCTTTTTTAAATCTTACATATTCTTGATGCCATCTCTTTTCGTTTCCATATAATGAGAATGCTCTAATTTATCACATATAAATGCAAAATATAAAATTCTATTCATTTAACCTTCATTATTATTATGCCGTTGCATTGTTGGATGTACATAGTGGTTGACTTACTGTTGATGAGCTGAAACATGTTGAATTTCTACTATTATTTCATAATAGATTTTCAGTAGGTTGTAAGCAGCTGACGAGAACCTGACGAAATAAAATGATATCACGTTATTCTGTTCCCGTTTTTTTCTTGCTCTTCTCAAATTCATAGAAGGAGAATTATCTTCACGCAAAAGATTTATTTTATAGATGGGAAAATTTACAGTATTGTAAATAATTAACTCCATAATAATTATTTCACCTACAATTTGCGTATTTATTATTAAAAAATTGGCTTCGTTGGAAATCAATTTCTTTTGTTACGCAATATGGGAAACTTACTAGTACGATTCAAGGTTGTGATATAATAACTTATCACGGTTTTATTTCACATCACATGATATAGAAATATTGCAAGTATACCTAATCTCCAATTTTTGAATTTCAGTGCTAAATATTTATTGTTTATTTGAGATATATGGTGTAATCTCTACCAAAATATTGAGTTCAGAAATACTTCTGTAGTGCAAAAGCAAGTTTGACTTAAACTGAGTTAAGCCCAGTGTTCCTAAGGTTAACTTCAAAGTACATGGATCTCCATTTCTGCACGTTTGGCTTCTATTTATGTTTCTAGTTGAGTTTTTTAAATCGGCACCAACCCTATTAGAAAGAAAATGTCGAGGAAACATTCAAATTTCTTTGTGGTTGTTTCCCTCCTCTCTCCCTTTATATATATATATATATATATATATATATATATATATATATATATACGTATAAATACATTCAGGTTAAGTTTTATTTTCCAATGGTTTCTTTTCCGCATGATTTGTTTGTGTCGTAATTTCGAACTGTTAGCCCATAGTAATAATCAGTCCGTCGTAACTGCTAATCATGCTTGAAACTGTCACAGTACAGATGACGATTAAGAACTGTCTCCTCAATTAATATGAAGTAATGTTTCAAACATTGCCCAAATGTGTGAGTTTACTCTGCTGATGATAGAAAATCATTATAGGGGAAAATTCCATTTGTATTCCAGAAAAACTAGCGAATCTACTTTCATAAATATGGAAGTTTTCTGGTGTGACTCTTTGTTAATTCACGTATTTGTCATTAAGTAGTCTCTGACTCCATTTTAATTCAGAAAGACTGAATGTCATTTCAGTTTACCCCCAATCTTTCGTCTAGGCGGCTTAAATAGCGTACTTAATGTCTTGTCTGAAATTCCGATAGATAGCAATGGAACCATATTAACTCCTTATTCCAAAGTATTTTGTGGTAATTATGGGAGAAATGTATTTTAAGCGTAAATTGATTTTTCTATGGTGCAATATTTAATGTATGAAAATGCTGTAAACTGTTTTCTAATTTTACTTAACATTTCTTAAAATATATCAAGGGAAAAGAAAATGAACTGACAATCCTCAACATAATAATTTACACTCTATGATAAGGGATATAATTTATTAGTCCACTAGATTGCCTTCCGAAACTTTTTCTTCTATGAACTTAACAGGATTAGAAACAAATAAAATCAAAGTTGTAGATGTTTGCTAACACATCATATTTGCCTTCATAAATGATATATGGATCGGTTGTGTTGAAGTGTTTAACACTTGAAATAAAGCTTTCATATGGGGATAATTGTAAGCATATGGCTGTTGACTCTGAAGCTATGGTTGTGCTTTAAAATGTGCTTAAAATCAGCATATTAAGTACAGTTGTTGATAAAATGTCAGAATTCTCCAAAATCAAATAAAAAGCACCCTACCAAATTAAAATTTATATTATGCGAATATAAACAATGACAAGTATCGATGCGTTCATCGTCTACATTTATAACATTTTTTGTCACATCGCCTGAGTGATTAGGTGAACTAGCAGATAATTATTAATCCTGTGTTTCCTTAACCCACTACCTTATTGTTAATCCCGGATTTTGAATCTCAACTTATGTTTACATATTTAAAATGTTATGCCATCATAACTATTAATAATTCATTTCACTTGAAGGCTGTTAGCAGCTGATGAAAGGCTATGAAAAAAAATGAGCTCATTTTATTCTTGCATTGTTGAAATAAAAAGCGGTTTATTGCCTTTTTCCAATCACTTTAATATTCACATCATTCTGGTGGAGTTAGCCAAATAAGCAGGCCATTGTAAGATAATTCTAAGTACTCACTCCATTCATGTAACATAATTCTTTTCACATATGCATAACCGTTTTTGATTATGAATGGCTGGTTTTCAGCAGAAAACTTGTAAGGACAGCTAAATCGTTTAAATAAAAGCTTTATCTGTGTCAAATTTCGATGTGGACCATGTATTTTATGCAGAAGTTGAAAATTACTGCTTCTATTCATACTTATTCCAATAATCATGAATTTATTGCTGTTTCATTTCATCTCTTTTGAAGGAGTTTATACAGAATCTTTTAAGAAGATTGAAAAGTGTTGCATAGTTTTTTGTCCATTGGTAAAATCACTCCTAAGTTGGAGAGTTGAACACTTGTCCTGGTTTGTGAATGTATCCGAATCTAAAATACGCATACGATTCAGTGCATGCGTTTATGTGTATTGTGTTAATACCATGATTCTGAATTAAAATGCTTCATTAATTCTTATTATTTGCAGATAATATCCTGACTGCTTCCCCAAGCTTTACGCTAATAATTTTTCTCTTTTGACAATAGACAGGGTGGAAAGCAACAATTTCTTAGTCTTTATCTTATTTCCTATTTACTTTTTCAAACCTAATTCATCTTTCCTTGAGCCCTGTCTTATTTTTATCTTCCCCTATTCTCAGTCAGTAAAATAGTCGTATTCAGTACATGCTACAAGTAACAAACTTTGTTTTCTCTATCTGTCTTATTTAATTTCTTTCCTGTTCATAGTATTCTTGTGAACAGTATAAATAATCATTGTAGTCTTTTTGTACTCCATCAACATGTGTACATGTAGAATTCATAACATATTTCTTCTATTGTTTAATGTCAAAGTAAGAAGGATCTATAATGAATGGTTGTAATATATTCTCACAGTTCCAGTGAAGTGTTCACTTATACTTTTACTTGATACCTGTTTTGTATGATTTGTTTTCGCTTGTTGTGTGGTGATGAAGTTATAGGCAGTACATTTACTTATAAACTGTTCTAACCGTGGAATGGCATACAAATTCTGATGACTGTTACTGAATCGTCAGATTTAGATGCAGGAATCAGTTGAATAATTATGGATGAAATGTTTAGGAAACCGATGTACTTTAGGTGATTCGAATTAATTTCACTCAGCGTTCCAGTCGGAGTTTTTACCAATGAGTTGTTTGCAGCAGAAACAAGACCTTTGCTAATATAATTTATAGTGAATTCTAGTGGAATGTGATGATAGCTTTCAGTATAATCTGTATTTCAGCATTCAGGTATGCCTCTAAACCCCTTCAGTCTTTCGAAATTTCGATTCCAATCCAAAGGAAAAAGTTTCTACAAACACTACAATAGTGTCTACAAGTTTACTTAGTTATCATATCTTCTGTTATACAACAGATAATAATTGTTATGAGAACTTATAACTTCCCTGCAAGAACTTAGTGAATTGAAGTTATCAATAAAGAAGCTACCGATCCATATCATCATCAAGTCTAGCCTTATGTAATTGCATAAATAAATTCCATCCCACTTTGGTAAATAGTCTACTTGGGCTTTGATTCTCAATTGAACGTTTTTTACTTTACAGTGAACAAGTAAGTTGGAGCATTAAAAAGTTCAGTAGTAGTGATTATTCGTATTGAAATTAAGATTTATTTTGTTGTGAGACGGATCATACTATAGTTTACTTTAGATGTAATCAAAACATTTGTTTGAGGTATTAACTTTCAAACCTGTGATTTTTTTCACGGTTGACAAATGATATTCGGCCTAACAATATTGTAGTGATGTGAAGAAATTTTAGCAGAACAGAATTCCTCTATGGTCATCTTTAAGGTGTTAACAAGTGATTCTTAGCCTAACTATCAGACAGGAAATCCTTCTAGTTCATTAACTGTATTAATGATAAACAATCCAGAGAAACTAAAGAGTCATCGTACAATTAATATGCAACATGTATAGAAAATAAACTAAATACGTGCAACATTTTTATGAAGAATAATATGGAGGTACTCTGCAGAGGTCAAAAGTTTTGCCTTTTGCCAAGGATGCTGAAAATCTTACTGAAATCGGTTACTGTTATAATACTGAATGACGTACATCTTTATTTCAGGCGTACCTTCACTGAAATTCTATGGTGACTGTAATACTGACATCTATGATCAAATATGATGAAGTCAAGTGAATTTCTAAATAACTGTGTTTACTCGGTATACCATACACCAGTATAACAGTGAGATTATTTACGAAATGATAATTTATTACATTGATTGGTCACTGGACAGTAACCGATTTATGCTGTCTAGTCCTGAGTACTGGTCGAGTTCTATCGATCATTTTCGAATATGACCTCTAAGCTTGGGGCTCAGCATCGCGGCGCACTTTAGACGCATGTTAGTTGACTGGGGGAAATCAGCAAGAAGCCATGGACCTAGATTTCGTACTTGTTAGCACACGACATCAGGACGTATCTGTAACTTCAAGGGAACTGATGTCCACTTTTGAGATTCGAACCGGCATCACTCAGTGTTAAGTCCTGTAATTTTAACATTGTCACTTGCATTTTCTTGATAAATAGTTCCGCTTCCGATTGGAGTTCTCTTCATTGTGGTCTATCATTTATAGCCATATCATTAATTCTGTGGTGTCTGCAATTTCGGAATTTCCGGAATACCTGAGTGAGCGTTGACTCATAGTTATTTGTTTTATTAGGTGTTAATTCTACGAAAAAGATTAATTGACGGATGTTTGTTCATCTGACTGCGTTGTTTACTGAGTATTTCGTTTTATCCCACTTTAAATGGGAGATCTTGCTAATGAAAACATATCTACAGCTGATGATCCTTTTGATATCTGCGTAATTTACATTCTAACTAGTATAATGAATACATAAATCACTGAACATACTTTATGGATATTTCCATAAGACTGAATCAGTCGTTGATGTATTGTAAGTACTATGTGTTTGCATGTTAAGCATTTAACCTATACATTAAGTATTGCGGCATGTTAACAGCTATGTATCTGGTTTCGTTTGTGGAGTGTCTGCTACCATTGGTTAAGTGTCACTGCTCTAGTAAACATTGTGCTCCACGCTGTAATGAAAATACAACACAAGCGCATATTTCGTTAGTAGAAAGTAATATATATATATATATATATATATATATATATATATATATATATATATATATATATATATATATATGCATGCTTAGTTTCAAGTAATGCGTTCACGATCTTCATATCTTCAAATATTACTAATATCTGCCCCTTGAGTTCCTGGTGGAACATAGAACTTCAGTAGCACGTCTCCATTGCACTCTGTTCTCTGAAGTCTTTTGAGCCTGGCTCTAACACTGCCCAGAATCTCTCGTTTCTTCCTCACACCACCTCCTTCATGTCACCCTCGCCTCGGACGCCCAGCTCGTCGTTTCCCCTTCGGGTTCCACTCGAGGGCCTGGCCTAGCGCATGATGTCCCCAAACCGTCTCCTCAGTTTATTCCCAATCCAATTCATCTCCACTTTCTTCCAAATATTTGTTGGGCGATGGGTTCTTGGTTAGTTCTTTGCCAGCCAGAGTTTTTCGTTGCTTATTCTTTCTGGTCATCTGATCTTCAGTAACGAGTGAGCGTGGGCGGCAGCTGATGATGAATGTCAGTAGTTTGTTGGAAATGCTTTTCGTAACGCGCAAAGTCTCTGCACCATATAGAAGCACTGACTTGACTGAATTAGTGCTGAAAATCCCGATCTTGTTCTTTATGCTGAGTGCAGTAGATCTCCACACTGATTTCTGGTTAATGTCTTGCTGCCCTTCCGATCCTGGCATTGACATTCTCATTGTGCCGCCGCCTGTGGTTGAAACGATGCTGCCTAGGTAGGTGGAAGAGACCACTTCGTTTAGATTTCTCCCGTTGATGGTGATTGATGCTTGTTGTTGATGTCTCCGCTACATTCGCTTGAAGTCCTGTCTTCTCTGCCTCATCTGTCAACTTGTTAGTTTTTGCCAGTAGATCTTCGAGTTTGTGCGACAAGACACTAGACATAAATCAGCATCGGCGAAATCCAAATCTTCTAGGGTCTTTTCATCGGTCAAGTCGGCGGGTGCCCCTCTTCTTGCTCCTCACAGTTTGTTGCATGATCCACTTCAGTCCAGTCGACCACAATGAGCAAGATAATCGGTGATAGTAGGTGGCAGCCTTGTCTCACTCCTGTCTTCACTTCAAAGGCATCACTGAGCTTTCCATTATGAATCACTTGGCATGTTGCATCATATCGCATATAGCTGTTGAATGAGGTTGCTGAAGGTTTGTGACACTAAAACCGTAGTGTTGAAGCAGTTTCCAAATTGCTTCTCGGTCGACGCAGTCGAAAGCCTTCCCAAAGTCGAAGAATTTGAGGTAGAGAGTTGACTGCCATTCTATGTTCTGTTCTATGATGACGCTCAGCGTAGTGTTACAATTTGATCCGCACATGATTTGTTCTTCCTGATTCCAGCCATCCAGCCTGTTCCGGTCGTAATTTTGAATCTGAAGCATGATTTAGTCTCTCCAGGATGATGGGGCTTAATATTTTGCTTAGGGCGGACAGGAGGATGATCCTGCACCAGTTCTTGTAAAGACTTAGGTCTCCCTTCTTTGGAAGTTTGACAAGGTAGCCCTTCTTCCAATCTGCAGGTATCTTTCCTTCCTTCCACACTTTATGCAGTAGTGGTGTGAGGATGTCCGCTGTAGTCTCTGAATCAGCTTTCAGTGCTTCTGACGGAATTCTCTGTGGTGCCGCTGATTTCCCGGATTTCAGTAATTTTATGGCGTTCAGGACTTCACTTCTGCTTTTGTCGGAGGTCTTGTGTTCCTTGATAGTTGTGTGACTGGGTTGCTGGTGATATTTCTGGACGAGTTACAAGTGGTGGTCGGTCCAATAGTTTTTTGAAGTGGTCAGCTCATCGTTTCCTTTGTTTCTCCCCTTTGGTAACTAAGTTCCCTTCACTATCTTTCATTGGTTTCATCTGTGTTGATCTCTTCCTGGTTACTTGATACACTGTTGTCAGGTCTCTTCTGCCTGCAGCCTGTTCTGCCTTACTTGCAAGTGTGTCGTAGAAGTGTCTTTTGTCTTTGCGCGCACTCTTCTTCTTTACTTTGTCCAGTGTTTTACATGTTTGTATTCAGTTCATCTTTTCGTTGTTCATCTCTGCACTGCACTGGTCCATCTTCTGCTTCACCATCTTCCTCTTCCTCCTCTATCAGCTTCCATGTGTCCGTGGAGATCCATTCCTTGTTTTGCTTCTTCTTCCTTCCCAACACGATTATGGAGGTTTACTTCCACGTCTCTTTCACAGAGTTTCAGTGTTCTTCTATGCCGGTTTCTTCAGGGATGCTGCTTAATGTCTCCCATTTTGTCCTGATGGCTGACGTGAAGATGTCCTTTATTGTAGTTTCGTCCTTCAGTTTCTGTTCTGGATGTCGAACTTGAACTATGGTCTATCATCACCAGCTTCTTTGAAGGCTTTCAGCTTGACTTTGAAAGTTCCTTGCAATAGATAGTGGTCTGAACTTACCTACATTTGCTCCTCTTCTTGATCTTGTGTCCAGTAGGCTGACTGCGTCTCCACTTTCTTCAGATTGAGATGAAGTTGATCTTATTTTTAGTGTGTCCATCTGATGAAATCCATGTCCTTTTGTGAGTGTCCTTGTGCTTGTACACACTGCTTGCAGTCACCAAGTCGTTGAATGCATAGAAGTCTGCAAACAGTTCTCCATTCTCGTATCTTCAAAGCAGTTATGAAATTTGATCATGAAATCAATTTGAAGCTGACCAGAGTTTGAGTCCGCTTTTTTATCTCTTTATTCTGTTTATTTTTGTTTGCAGCTTTCATTGTTCACGTTTGTACTCTTCTCAACAGATTGTTTTCGCTAGCTCTTATCCATTCGCACTGGATTTATTTTGCAAATTTTTCTAACCTGTGGAATTCTGTTTCGAGTGTCTTTGCAACTTAATTTGTGTATTGTGAACGTATTCTGAATAATTGTATTACCTATTCACAGTATCCGAGTAGACGTTAATACCTTTCCAAATGGAATCTCCGCTTATCTCAGTTAAAATAAATCCTCAGTATCCAATTTATTTTATGGTCCTTAAATTATATGACATAACAGTTTGTATTGTTACCACTTTCAGCAAGTGTCTTTCGCATCTTTTAGCAATTTCGATCATATAGGTAACCCACTAAAGGATAATTAATTGACTTAATCGACTGAGTCACCCGCATACGCCACAGATATTCAATTCTGAATTCTCAGTGTATTTATGAATAGGCTGTACTTGTTTTTTGTTTCACTCTATCCTTATTCTTATCCGTTTACATCTGAAGTCTCGAGGAAATATATATTAGTGCTTACATCATTGTTTTGTTGATCAGTTGTGAAATCTTATTATTCGAAAGACACCATCGATAAACTCTAAAGGATTGGATATGTCTTCTTTGTGAATAGCAGTTTGGGTGCAGGTTATCTGTTGACAGCACTGTTTGAAATGAATATTCTTATTAAACAGCATGCAACGAATATTCAGCAGAACTGTATCTGTCTAACAGTAAGAATATTGTCGCCATCCAACTTTGATTCGTTGGTAACAGATATTAATGGACCTTAAGAAATAAGTGTCAACTTTTCATCTTATAGTTTTAAAATAGGCGTCAAAAACATTGTAAGACACATATAGCTATGTTACATGCATTTTCATGCATATTTCAAGTGATCTATCTCTGTAAATGGTGATCCTTTCCTATATTGGTTCGATGGTTACACACCT